CATGCACACGTACCTGGCATGAGTTTCAAGCCACTGACTCGGGGATTCAGACCACAGTCAGCCATGTACACCACCTGCTGGCCCCACTGCCTACTAAGAAAATCTTAAATATGACCTCCAGGGCAAGGAACAATGAATAATTAGAAGCCAGAAGCTCTGAGAGCCAGCAGGTGGCATAGTGGTTAAAGTGCTGGACTCCCTCATGGCCGACAGCAGTCTGAGTCCTGGACCAGCAGATTGAAAATCACGCCAGGCACATGTACGTGCGTGCCCAAAATCCTGAGAGGAAAACGGAGGAGAAGGGATGGTGGTGTGGCCATCACCCCCCCTCCCCCGCCACCAGGGGGTGACTTCTCACTTTCCCTATCGCTGTATCTCTTCAGAGAACACTCGTGCCCTATAGCAAAAACTTATGACAACAAAAAGCCCGGAAGCCCTGGAGCCCATCCTAGTATACCCTCGCTCCAAACGTGGGTGTCCCGAGTCCTGCAGTGACTGGCCAGGTTCCCTCTCTAACCCTACATCTTCTTAACTATAACTGTCCAGGGTCTCAGACTAAAGAAACTTTAAGGCAATATTTTTCTTTTTCTTTTTTGTTTTAAATTGCCAGTGGGCGCGTGCAGTCACCAGAGAGAGAGAGAGTGCACATACACTTGAAAGGACTAACACCCCCCCCATGGGGCATGGTCACACAATCCCTCTCCTCCCTGTCTCCAGCCTGCTGGAATCTTACACATGCATGCACATGGGCCCAGCATGTTCCTGCTGGGGTTAGGGTCTAAACTGTGGTCAGCCATGTGGGATCTGGTTCCTTAACCGCTAGACTATGGGGCCAGCCCAGCAATATATATATCTTTAATTTTCTCTTGTAAAAATAATGATTTTATTTAACTTGATTTATTTTAATTTGAATAGAGATGGACAGAGTGCGAGAGAGAGAAAGAGAAAGTGAGAAAGCAAGCTGCCGGGTCTGGGACTCAAACCGCGGTCGACCATGTGCCCTTCACCACCATGCCACCTGCCGCCCCCCTAGCAGTACTATTTTCATTGTAGGCTGCAAACCAGTTTGTGCGTAACAGACTCATTTTGGGTGGTGATGGGTACCTTTTTCGATGAAAGGGTAGAAAACATCAGAGATAATGCATGTAGTCAAGTCGCTTCAGAAGCTAAGATGCTAGGATTTTAAAAGGGAACCTCATCCAGCTTAGGGCAGCTGCGTCCCACATAGCTAAATGTGCAATTTGAGCCCTGGACTCAGGGGCTTGAAAAACATGGTGGGCACGTGTGTGCACATCCTAAGAGGAGAATGGAGAAGGGATGGTGGTGTGACCAGCGCCCCCGGGGATGCTTTTTCACTTTCCATTGCTTTCTTTCTCTCTCTCTCTAGTGACTGCAGGTGCTCTGTAACAAATAAAATATTTTTTAAAAGAATTAGAAAAGGAAGACCTTATGGGGATGCCTACTGTTAGAGTGGAACACTGCCCTCTGGTGGATGGAAAAGGTAGCAACAGGCCACAGGTGCCAACAGGCCAGGGCTAGAAGGTAATTCGTATTCTCCATTATCCCAAAGACTCTTTTTTTTGGGGGGTGGGGGGTGGGGAAGGTTTGCTATAGGGCGCGTGCGTTCACCAGACAGACAGAGAGAGACAGAGAGACAGAAAGCGAGAAATCACCCCCCAGGGGGGATGGCCACGCCGCAATCCCTTCTCCTCCATTCTCCTCTTGGGATCTTGGGCACGCACGCACATGCGCCCGGTGTGAGTTTAAGCCACCGGGTCTGGGATGCGAACCGCGGTCGACTACGTGGGAGTCCAGCGACATAGCCATTACACCAACTGCTGATCCCCCTAAGACTCTTTATACATCTTTAGGGTCTCAAAGGCCACGATACTAGCTTTAGTCATAGCAGCATAGAGCCCATCCGTGGGAGCCCTGGTGACTGTCCCTGAAGTCGTATCTGGAAGCACTTGTGAGAGCATGACTCCTAGATCAGACGGGACCCGACTGGAAACGACAGGGTCCTTGAGTTTCCCCTGAGCTGCAGCTCCACTGACAGCGTGAGGGGATCCAGAGTTGTAAAAGCCGCAGAGGCAAAAAGAGGCCAAAAGAGGGCGCTGCTTTCACCGTTTATGCCTCTAAAACGCACGTCATTCGAAATCCGCCCTGTGGACAAATCCCACCTCCACTTAAATGAACTGGCACCGAAAATGGAGTACTGAAAAGACAGAATTTTATTTCATGCTTGCAAAGATGTGGTAACATTGGTATTTGCAAAACCCAAAGGCTCAGAAAACTTACAAACTAAAAAGCAAATTCCAAGCAAAGCAAAACGTATACATTCTTGAGCCCCCACTGCCTCGTACCTGTTACACAGTGCTTCTAATAACAGAGTTTGAAAAAAATACGACAAACAAAACTCCTTGGACCAAAAGATACATCTGGAACCTCCTACTGACCCACGTAATGTTTTCAAGTTATTTATTCTGTTTAGAGGCATTCGGGGGTAAATAGCATCTCTTTAAGAAAACATCAAACATCAGGTAATACAAATTACTCACTTTCCTAATCCTCAAGACTGAACATAATTTTATTGCCATTCCTGGACTAGAACAGAGAAAGGAAAGAGTTGAGGGTTACCCCGGGTTATGGGCCATGCTGATTTCGGGAGGACATCCCATCGTCAGGGACCTCAGTGTCGCTGCGGTAAGCACCTACTCAACGGGTCTCCATCCCAGCACCCTACACACCCCTTCAACTCACCCCAGAGCCTCAAGAGTCTTGGGAATCCCTGCCATGAGCTGTCCAGCCCCAGGGCGGTAGAGACCTAGTCCTCTTTACCAGCCAGCACCTCGAGGGAGACGTCAGCCCGAAACATGCCAGGCACTCATGAGCATGCCCAAGGTCCAATGGACTGGGGGACAGGAAGAAGGGGATCCCCTGTGGAAGGCACTCCCCTCTCTCTCTCATATATGCACGTATACGCTCTGTCATGAATAAAGGGGAGAACGTTTAAGAAAAGACATTTCTATTGAGAAGACATCCATCAATGGAGCTGGTGGGTAGTGTGGTGGTTAAGGTGCTGGACTCGCACGTGGCCAATGGCGGTTCGAGTCCCAGACCTGGCGGCTTGCTTTCTCACTCTCTCTTTCTCTCTCTTTCTCTCTCTGATAAAATTAAAGAATAAATAAGAAAACAAATAAAATTAAGTAAAATAAATAAATTTTTTAAAATAGAAAATACCCATCAAATCAGGAATACAAACCAGGTATGGGAGGGGATTGATGCTCTACAAAAGATGGGCCTCAGAGAGGTTGACGGGTACACAGGACCACCACGTCATGACATGAGAGAGAAAGAAAAGAGACGAAGACGCAAGCTAAACAACAGGGCCTGATGAATTTTATCAAGCGCAGGGCGCAAAGGATGAATAGCCCAAAGCGAGAGACCAGTGGAAGAACTACTCCAACAGGTGAGTTAAGTGCTACTAGCAGGGACCAGCACAGGGCGTGGTGGTTAAGGGCGCTGGACTCCACATGGCCAACTGTGGTTTGAGTCCCAGACCTGGCAGCTTGCTTTCTCCTTTCTCTGTCTCATGCTCTGTCCCTCTCTGGTCAACTTAAAGTAAGTAAATAAAGTTATAGAAAGTAATTCTTTATTTTAAAAAATGCTACTAGCAGCACTGACAGGTAGAAGCAAAATGCACCAACTAGATTAATTTGGTGAAATCCAAAACAAAAGAAATGGATCTGAAAAACGGGGTCAGGTCATAGTAGAGTCTGGAAGCCTTCCTGAGGTGAGCGTGAAGGGGCGTGGTGGGGAAGGGAGTTGAGACCCTGGTGCTGCCACCATCCGGGCAGGCACCTCACCCTCCTGGAACCCTACCGTCGGCAAAATGTGTTAGAGCAAGGGTCTCCGGAGTCCTTTCCCCCCACACTGAAATTCAACTGCTTCTCTTCAAATTTATCCCCGGCTAGCAGGATGACTGAACACAGGGGAAACCAGCAGAACCGCAACTCAAAGACTCTTCTCAGTTTTGCCAGAGAGCATATGGACTGACCAGAGCGAAATAGAGGGAAAAGGAAGAGAAAGCATCCCCCGCGTGGGGCATGGGTCACCCACAATCTCTTCCCTTTCATTTCTTCCTCCTGTGAGGATTGTGGGCACACACACACACACACACACACACACACACACTTAGCAGTTTTTCTTTTTCTTTTTTTAAGAATTAAAGGGCCATGGGAACCAGCAGTTAGCGTAATGGCTATGTCGCTGGACTCCCACGTAGTCGACCGCGGTTCACGTCCAGTACCAGGTGGCTTAAAACTCACGCCGGGCGCGTGTGCGTGCGTGCCCAAGATCCCGAGAGGAGAATGGAGGAGAAGGGATTGCGGCATGACCATCCCCCCTGGGGGGTGATTTCTCGCTTTCTGTCTCCGTGTCTCTCTCTGTCTGTTTGGCGAGCGCATGCGTCCTATAGCGAAAACCTCTCAAAAAAAAAAAAAAAATTAAAGGGCCATGTTAGCATAATGGCTATGTCGCTGGACTCCCACGTAGTCAACCGTGGTTCGAGTTCCGGACCTGGTGGCTTAAACTCACGCCAGGTGCGTGTGCATGCATGCCCAAGATCCCAAGAGGAGAATGGAGGAGAAGGGTTTGCGGCGTGACCATCCCCCCTGGCGAGCGCACGCACCCTATAGCAAAAACCTCTCCAAAAAAATAAGGAATTAAAGGGCCAGCAGATGGTTTAGTGGTTAAGGTGCTGGATTCCCACATGACTAACCCACAGTTCGAGTCCTGGGCCCAAAGGATTGAAACTCACGCCAGGAGCATGTGCGTGTGTGCCCAAAATCCCAAAAGGAGAACAGAGAAGGGATTATGGTGTCACCATCCTCTCTGTGGGGTGATTTCTCAGTTTCTCTCTGTCTCTGGTGAATATATATATACCCTATAGCAAAAATCTCTTTAAAAAGAAAAAAACAATCGCTTAATTTATTCATCTATTTTTTATTTTTTAGTTTTGCTCTAGGGCATATGCACTCACCAGAGAGAGACACAGAGAGAGAGAATGTGAGAAAGCAAGCTGCCAGGTCCAGGACTCGAACCATGGTCGACCATGTGGGAGTCCAGTGCCTGAACCACACCACACCATCTGCTAGCCTCCCAGCATGTTTTTCAAGGTGCTGGGGCTAGGATTTGAACCACACAGTTTCCATGTGGGGTCTGGTTCCCTTAACCACTAGACCATGGGCTGGCCCTCCAAAGACATTTTCAAAATTGGACTGGATGGTCCACTGTCAAAAGGGGTGGTTTCCAGGACCCCAGAAGACACCAGAAGGAAAAGGAGGAAGTGGAGAGACTCCCCCTGGGCAGGCAGGGCCTGCACAAGGAGACATTAACGGGGAGACCCAGCAGCTGCTTCTGTGATTAATCACTGGACCCTGGCCTCGGGCAGCAGGCGGCCACTCACAGTCGCCCACGCTGGCTGGTCCATACATCACCTGGGCCCGTGGCCAACACGGTTCCTTGGTGAGCCCCCACATGATGTTGAAAACTAACACAACACCCGGAACTCACGTGCCAGGTCAACACCCTCCCAGCAAAACAATCTTGAGGTAGATGCAAGTCCTCCCACTTCAGGGCTGATGAAAAGCAAGTCACCTGTCTGACGCTGCCCAGCTGGGGAGAGGCAGCGGGAGCCTTCCCACTCGGCCCTGCCAGAGACAGACTCTCAACCTCAAATCAAACGACCTAGTGAGAAATTAACACTGGGCCAGGCCCTTCCATCTTCCTGGTAGGGCCTTTTCTTTTTCTTTAGAGATTTTTGCTAGACGGCATATGCGCTTGGCAGAGAGGCGACACAGACAGACAAAGGGACAGAAAGTGTGAAATCACCCCCAAGGGGGATGGCCATTCTACTCTCAGGATGTTGGACATGGACACACACACACACACATGCACCCAGCATGGGTTTTTTAAGTAGCCAGGTCCAGGCCTCGAACCCTGGTCAACTATATGGGAGTCCAGTGCTGTAATCATTAAGTCACCTGCTGCCCCTTCCCCAGGCCTTTTTTTTTTTTTTTTAAAGGTTTTTGCTATAGGGCACGTGCACTCACCAGAAAGACAGAGAGAGACAGAAAGACAGAAAGTGAGAAATCACCTCCCGGGGGGATGGCCACGTAGCAATCCCTTCTCCATTCTCCTCTTGGGCATGCACGCACGTGCACCCGGCTGAGTTTAAGCCACCAGGTCCTGGACTCGAACTACAGTCGACTACATGGGAGTCCAGCGACCTAGCCATTATGCCGTCTGCTGGTCCCTCCCCAAGGCTTTTTTAACACAAGTGCTGACTACCATCTCAAGGTCTTGCCTCTGGCACAATGACTGGGCAAACAGAGTAGGCGTCCCTAATAACATGCTCACTCCTACCTCTTTATCCCTGAGCTTCTAGGCCAGTAGACAGCCCTCCTGTTCTGTGGCCAGAGCCTCAGGGCAGCTCTTAGTTCAGCCTGGTGTGATGGAAGCCACCCTGCTGGAAAGACAGTCCTAGCATTCCACATTTCCTCCCATTCCTGGGGAGGAACCCCTGGAGGGCCTGCCAGAGGCACAGGGGCCTGCCCCAGACTCACCTTCCCCAGAAAATCCAGACCAAGGAACGTTAAGAGGCCCCCAGTTTCCTGGCTCATTTTCCAGCATAACAAATACCCTGGAATTCACCGGCTCCCTCACAGGCACCAGCCCCTGTCATTTAGACCATCAGCCTCCAGCAAATCGCAAATCACTTTGAAAGATCAGAGGTCGAGGCCCCTGTGGAGGCTCTCCCACAGGTGAGGCTGCATTCCGCCCTCTGCAGCAGATAGAGCTACTGAACGTCAGTGGCGAGAACACCTGTCCTGGGAGGTCGGAAGGTCGTACACGCCTTGCCAGATCACCAGGGTCCCACCACTCTCTGCAGCCTATTCCTAGTCACCTCACCCAAGCGTGGTATCAAATGAAACAGGGGAGGCAAGAAACAAAACAACAACAACAAAAAACACCTTTAAATTCCTACCCCTAGCATCACCACCGTCACCCCCAAAGCTGATTCCCTCAACAAAGGTGAAAAGAAGAAAAGAAACATTCTTGGCCTCCAGCAGCGGGAGGAACCTCCCATCTTATCTGCTCTCCGGAGTCACTTAGCAATAGTGCCCCTTTGCCAGAAGGTCACCGGGAGTAATGATTCTGGCAACCACTTAAATCTTAGAGGTTTAAAAACACCCAGAGGGAAACTTCCCTGCTCCTTCCAGACACTGCTTTCTAGAAGCCTCCCTTTCCAGCAACTCCTCCTTGCAGTCCCTCCCCGTGAGCTCTGCGAGAGGGCCTCATGCCACACCACCTGGAGAATCAGGCCTCGCGCACACACACACACACACACACACACACCCGTGACCTAGGGGCCTCGCAAGTGCACAGATGAAGGTCGACTGTAAATGGCCCACTGAAGAGTGAAACCAGCCTGAATTGGCCAAGCAGCACCCTCACCCCAAATCCCTGTGACCAGTCCAGCTCGGGACCAGTGGAGTGTTGGCTGGGCTCGGCGGGAAGGGCTGGAGCGAGGAAAGCAGGCAAACCACTCTGGAAGGGTGGAGTGTGGAGGGCAAGTGCAGGGCAGAGGCCCTCCAGGGCAGGGGGCTCAGGGAGCCCGCTGTAAGATGAGCTCTGTGATTTCCGCTCTGCTCCCCAACCTCATGGGGATCCCGTAGTAGGCCGTGCCCGGGCTGACATAGACAAATGTCGTCAGGGCCACTTGGTAGAGACCCGCAAAGAAGGGGTTCAGGAGATAGGCTGCCACGTTCAGGGGGAAGATCTGTCCAGCGTGCGTGTGCCCAGAAAGGATCAGGTTAATATCCGGCCGAGCCTGGAGGGCTCTCTTGGCCGCCAGGGGCTGGTGAGCTAGCAGGATGGTGGCATGGTCTGGGCTGCAGCCGCCCAGGGCTTTGGCCAGATCCATGCCATGGCCGGAGTAGTGCAGGATGTCGGCCTCGATGTCGTCCACCCCAGCCAGGCACATCCAGTCGTCACCTTCGCCACCGCCGTCCCCTGCTCGGGCTCGCGTGGCAGAAATCTTCACGTTCTCGTTATGAAGAGGCCGCACGTGCAGGGATTCCAGCAGCGCGAACCAGTTGCTCACATCCGACGTGTAGTACTCGTGGTTACCCGTGACGAAGTAGGTGCCAAGGCGTGACCGGAGCTGACCCAAAGGGGCGACGGCCGTCCGCAGGACCGCGGCTTCGGAATCCGAGAGGTCTCCCACGATGACCGTGACGTCTGGTTCCAGCACGTTCACCATCCTCACGAACATCTCCATCTTGGTCCTGCCCACGGTGGGGCCCAGGTGGATGTCCGAGAGCAGCGCGATCTTGAGGTTGTCCATCGAGGCTGGCAGCTGATGCATGGGCACCTCCACGGTCTTCACGGCCGGGGGCTGGGCAGCGTTCAGAAGCCCCATGACGCTGAGCACAGCGGTCACTCCCACCGCCAAGGTGGGCCTGAGCAGCAGCATCCTGGCCTTGTTGAGGCTGCCCATAACCCTGCCGCTGCGCCAGGCCACGAGCTGGCAGGCCTGCTCCATGGCGCTGAGGATGCAGAGGAAGAAGACCATGATGATGTACGCACCCAGGCAGGAGTAGGCCGCCAGGGAGAAGAGGTAGGGCTCCTCCGCCACCAGAAAGAGCATGGTGAAGAAACTGGAGTGGGCCAGGGCCAGGAACGTCACGATGGCCACCTTCCAGAGCCCAAAACAGGTGGACTCTGCAGCTGGGGAGTGGCCCAGGTGGGTCACCGTGCTGCGCCAGATGTAGAGCGAGCCGATGAGCATGAGCGAGTTGACGAACAGGGCAAGCTGCAAGCGGAACAGCCAACGCCAGGCCCTGAGCTCAAGGCTCTCGGCCAGAAAGGAGCGGGAGACCATCATGGACAGGAAGACGGTGACAGCAGCCAGGGCGGCCTTCGCACCCAGCGACAGCTGCCTGAAGGTGGCCATTTCCTCCGCGGCGAGAAGGGTCCCCCGCCAGTTCCGTGCAGGTGGGCTCTGGAAGGCGCGTTCCTTAGAAAGGACAGGGGCCAAGGAGAGGTTTCCAGATCAGCTCCACCTGCAACCAGGAACTGGCGTCAGCTTTGAGGGCTATACCGTGTCCATGACCCTGCTCGAAACCCAAAGGCCACTTACAGCTGCCCAGCCCACCGTGAGCCCAAGTCACTCAATACCAGTCATTTCTACTCTTTATTCTTAAAGTTCACACAGGATTGTGACAAAATGGACAGTTTTTGTTTTTTATGGATAGTCTTCCACAACAAGTACAAAGTGCTTTTTTTTTAATAAAAACTTAACTCATTTACTTATTTATTTTAATTTCACCAGAGAGAGACAGAGAGAGAGAGAGAAGGGAAGTGAGAAAGCAAGCCACCAGGTCTGGGACTCGAACCGTGGTTGGCTATGTGGGAGTGCCCAGCACTTTAACTACCACACCACCTGCTGGTCCCACAAAGTTCTTTTATAACATTATCCTAAATTAGTGGCTCTTACGTGTGGTTAGGGAAGCCCTTCCAAGGGATCTACTTAGTCCAAACTATTTTCATAACACTAAGCCGCTGACAGCCTTGCCACGCACACGCACGCTCTCCTGTGCGTACAGTGGACTTTGCCAGTGGTCACGTGTGCGATGTGATATGGCCACAGTGTGAATGCAGAAGTAGACATGGAAATCTGACTGTCTTTATTAAGACTGACCTGAAACAGCTTTGCAAAATATAAAACAACGCAACTCATCGGGACCAGCAGTTGGCGTAATGGCTATGTCGCTGGGCTCCCAGGTAGTCGACCGGTTCGAGTCCCGGACCTGGTGGCTTAAGCTCATGCCAGGCACGTGTGCATGCAGGCCCAAGATCCCAAGAGGAGAAGGGATTGCGGTGTGGCCATCCCCGCTGGGGTGTGCTTTCTTGCCTTCTGTCTCTCTGTGTCTCTCTGTCTTTCTGGCAAACATATGTGCCCTATAGCAAAAACCTCTCCAAAAAGAAAAAAAACTTAATCCCCCTTAGCCCAGTGGTTAAGAGAGCCAGGTTGCTCAAGGCTGACTACGATAGCAATCCCAGGCCTCAGGCACACAGCACAGCTGCCATTCATTCCCACAGGATGGAGAAATGGAAGAGAAGAGATCCCAGATAGGGCTGGCAAGAGGCGTGGTAATTGAGGCACTGAACTCCTGCATGGCTGACTGGTTCAAGTCTCAGACCTGGTGGCTTGCTTTCTCACTTTTTCTCTCTCTCTCTCTCTCTCTCTGGTCAAATTAAAAATAATAATTGTAGGGACCAGCAGAAGGCGTGGTGGTTTAGGGTGTCAGACTCCGGCATGGCTGACTGCGGTTCAAGTCCTAGACCCGGGGGCTTGCTTTCTCACTTTCTCTTTGTCTCTCTGTCTCTCTCTCTCACTCTGTCCTTCTCTGGTCTAATTAGTTAATTAATTAATTTTAAAAAGTTAAATTTTTAAAAATCTAAAAGAAAAGAAACATTTTTAAATAATAATATTATAAATTAAATTAAATAAGTAATTCTTTAAAAAATGAGAGAGAGCTTCCAGAGAGACTGAGTCCCATTAGGGGGTGCTTCCTCCTTCCTCTCACTCCCTCTGGGCAGCTTACACACCCTCTGACAATTAAGAAAAAAGTCCACCCACATAAGGGGAGGAGAGGGAGCGGTACTTAACTTCATGTGACTTTTTCCCAAAAAAGAAAACATTTCAGTAGCTCTTTGTTTTCCAAGTACTTACATTTTTCTTTAATTATTTTAGTTTAACTTTATTTATTATTTTTCAATTTGACCAGAGAGACACAGAGAGAAAGGAAACCACCAGGTCCAGGGATTGCCCCCCACCCCTTGGCCATGCGGGAGTCCAGCGCCTTTCACCAACCACCCACCAGCCAACCCCCAAACTTAAAATTGTCTATCTTTGTTTTAGATAAAAGTATGCTTTTCACTGCCCTAGGCACATGACTGAACGCTTTTAACCAAAGGGTGTAACAGCCAAGAGGCTCAAATTCCACTTGTACTTAAAAGACATCCCAGACTCAGCCCATCTGAACTCTAGAGGAACAAAAGCGGGTTCGCTGACAGCGCAGGGGGCAGGTGGACGTGCCAATTCCCCGGAGAATGCAGGGGGCAGGGGGCCATGTCAACCCCCCCCGTACAGTGCAGGCGGCAGGTGCCTGTGTCAAACCCCCCCCCCTACAGTGCAGGCGGCAGGTGCCTTGTCAACTCCCCCTTCTATTCCGACAGCCCCCGCCCCCGCCAGGCAGCGCTTCAGAGGTCCCACGGCTCCCAGACCCTTACTCAGATCGACGGGATGGGGTGTGCTTCCTCTCCAGCCAAGCGTGCGCGCCCCCGGACCCCCTACTCGGCTGGCCAGCCCTCCCTACACCCACGCTGCCCATCCTCGACCTGGCCCTCCAACCCTGAAGAAAAAGGATCCCCCCCAATGCAACGAGAAACCAAGCCTAAAAGCAGGCGGCGGGGGAGTGGCGAGAAGGGGACCAGGTGTTTGAAAAAGATCACCCCGAAGGAAAACAAGCCAGCGTCCCCTTTGCGGGGGCCTATCCTGACCCCGTTTTTCTTCTTCCGGAGCGCCCCGCAGAGCACCAACTGGGCAAGCGGGGGCGCCCCTGGCAGGCGCCCGCGCAACTTAGAATCTCCCTCCCGGAAGGCTGAAGTTGGAAAGGTTGAGGCGCACCCCACGGCACCCTGTCCAACCCAAGTGCACTGATGAGGAAGTGGGTCCAAGCGAAAGGGGTAGCGGGAGCGGAACCCAGGAACGATCGGGCGACCGGGAAGGACGCGCGCGCCGCGCCTGCCGGTCCCCGCCCCGAGGGCCGGCCCACTGCCTGCGATCCGCCGGCTCCCTGCCCGCCAGGAGGCCCTCCGGGATCTCCGGCTCCCGGCGCCCAAGACCCCGAGGGGCCACAGCCCCAGCCAGGTCCCCTGCCAGCCTATCCCCTACCAATGCGTCCCCGTGCGGGGGTCCCACGGACTTACGCGCAAGCCTCGCGCGGAGCCCAGCAGCAGTGGCGCCAGCAGCAAAGAGAGGATGCGAACCCGGACCCCCAGCATGACCGTCCTCGCCCCGCGCCCTGAGCTCCGCCCTGCGGCTGCAGCGCCCGGCGGGGGGCGCGGGAGGGCGGGGGCCGCGTGACTTGGGGCTAGTGCTATCTGGGTTTTGCTGGCGTCTGCCACGGGTAGCGACCCTGTGGGATGGCAGTCTGGAGGCCCTGCTGTCAGCAGCTTGATAAGGGACACTGACCCGGGCTTCCTTGCTCCCGAACGGTGTTGAGAGAACAGAGAGGAAGAACTGATAGCAGCGAAACCTAAGTGGAAAACTCTGAAGCCCGGGTTTGCGAAGTGTGAACTCCGTCTACAGTCCCTGGAAGTTATTAGAAATACACATTCTGGGGCCCCATTCCACCAATACTCAATCAAATTCTGGGGTCGGGAGCGAGATCATTTGTAAATTTACACTGTCCAAACTATTCGGATGCAGGCCGAAGTTTGAGAACCAGTGCTGAAAAGCACCACTGCTCGGTTACTGATTAATTTAGAGGTAAGGTTCAGTTGTGGCGGCTTCTGACGCTCCAGGGTATGCAGAATATTTATTTTATTGCTTCTTCTTTCTTTCTTTCTTCTTTTTTTAAAAGAGATTATTTGAAATATGAAACTATTCCAACCACAGGATTGGAATCCCAGACCTGGTGACTTGAAGAACACACCAGCATGTGTGCGTGTCCAAAATCTTCGCAGGATGGAAAATTGAAAGAGAAGGGATTGTCCTCTGAACATGCCCAATGGGGTGTGGTTTCTCCCTCTCTCTCTGTTTTCTTTGCCTCTCTCTGGGCAGTGAATACACCCTCTGGCAAATTTTTTTTAAAAAAGAATACTTACTTACCTTTATGTATTCATTCAATTTGTTTTCTTTATGATGAGAGAGAGAGAGAGAGAAAGTGAGAAAGCAAGCCACCAAGTCTGGGACTAAAACTGTGGTCAGCCATGTGGGAGTGTCCAGCGCCTTAACCACCACGCCACCTGCTTGTCCCCTCTTCTAACAAATGTTTAAAAACTAAAATAAAAAACCCATGCTGGCAGGTGGCATGGGGATGAAAAGGCTGGACTCCCACATGGCCAGCCACAGTTCAAGTCCTGGACCTGGCAGCTTGCTTTCTCACTTTCCCTCCCATCCTCTCTCTCTTTCTCTGTCTCTGTCTGGTGAGTGTATGTGCCCTGTAGCTCATTTTTAAGTAATAATCAATATAATAAATAAATAATTATTTTTTTAAAAGTAAAAAATCCTTAATTTCAGAAAAAGAAAGCTTTAGGGAGATTGTTTTTAAGTACACATACCTAAATTTTTCTAGTTTCATTGAATTATAATTTACATTTTATAAAATCCATTTATTTAGGGCCAGCCAGTAGCAGACAACTAGATTCCACGTGGCTGACTGCACAGTTCAACTCTTTGCCCTAATATTTTGAAAAAACGTGGAACCAGCAGTTAGCGTAATGGCTCTGTCGCTAGACTCCCATGTAGTAGACCGTGGTTCGAGTCCCGGACTCGGGGGCTTACATTCACGCCAGGCCTGTATGTGTGCGTGCCCACGATCCCGAGAGGAGAATGGAGGAGAAGGGACTGCTGTATGGCTATCCCCCCCCGCCCCCGGGGGGGGGTCTGTCTCTGTCTCTGTCTCTCTCTTTCTGATGAATGCACTTGCTCTATAGTAAAAAACAACAACAACAACAAACAAACAAACCTCTCCAAAAAAATTATAAAAATACATCACTGAAAAGTGAAATAAAAATACACATACAGGGCTGGATCTGTGGCCTGGTGGCTCAGGGAGCTGGGGAGCTGGATCCCACATGCCCAACTGCACTGTTGGAGTCCTGGACTCAGAACTTTGAAAAACACGCTGGGCATGTGTGCGTGCGTGTCCAAAATCCCAGAAGGAGGAAGACAGGATGGCAGTGTGGCCATCTCCCCCGGGGGTGGCTTTCTCACCTTTCCTCTCTCTCTCTCTGTCTCTTGCTGGTAAGTGTATGTGCCCTCTCACAAATGAACAACAAGGATAAGGGAACTTTAGAAACTAAAAACAAACCGAAAGCCAGAGGAGGTCTCTGGCCCACAAACGTGGTCGATTCTAAACCCGAAAGCCAGACGAGGTCTCTGGCCCACAAACGTGGTCGATTCTGCCGAATAACAATGATTCCTTATCCTTCTTGTGGGTCTTTCTTTCGACAGGGGGTCAGATTACGCAACCCACCCAGCAGGTAAGGCTATTCACAATGAAAAGATAAAATTGTGAAATGACCCCCCAATAATGTCCTCACGGTTCCCAATAAAAGGAGATAGCTGTGTGTCAGGAGTTGGACCAGGTCAGGTGGCAGTCATGGGGCTCAGGATGTCTCGGTCCTTTTCAGGAGCCTGAGCTCTCTGAGGCCATAAACGCCCCCGGGGGGAGCCTGCTTTAGGGCAAAAGAACATTCTCTCTGCCTTTTGCTTCCTAGGATTTCCTAACTGTCAAGGGCACCTCCTTTCCAGTCTCCCCGCTGCCTCCCCGCTGCCTCTTGGCAGGGTTTCTGCCCTTTGATCACCAAATCCAACCCCTGGATTTAGCACACTCGGTTTTACAGTCACAGCTGCCGGGTGGCTCACTTCTCTAAGGGCCACTGGCATTTCCTGGCGCAATCAAAGGGAACAACCTGGCTAGAAGAGCTAAGGGATTTGACCAAATGCACCACATTGGCCCACCAATATCTTTTTTTTTTTTTGAGAGGTTTTTGCTATAGGGCGCATGCACTCGCCAGACAGAGAGAGACAGAGAGACAGAAAGCGAGAAATCACCCCCCAGGGGGGAATGGCCACGCCGCAATCCCTTCTCCATCCTCCTCTCGGGATCTTGGGCACACATGCACACGCACCCGGCGTGAGTTTAAGCCACCGGGTCCAGGACTCGAACCACGGTTGACTACGTGGGAGTCCAGCAACATAGCCATTATGCCAACTGCTGGCCCCAGCCCACCAATATCTTAAAATTCATTTAGTTACTAAAGGTGCCAACATTTAATGAAGAGATTTCCAGTTCCTCCTCAAAGATCAGGAGGTTTGGCAACACCGAGGAGACCAGAGCCATGTGGGGTACATTCTTTGGGTAGAATGGGTCCCTACATTCGGCCACACTCTT